ATTTTAATGGAGGCACAGTTACATTTTAAACACTTGAAAGAAATTTTCATAACTTGACAAAATCATTTATCCTTAAAAAGAATAAATAACCGTTAATAAACTAGTGCTGCCCCATCCCTAGCGTCTAGTATTGTGTTGGTATCAACAGAATAGGACGTTGATCACACATGTATTCATACTAACTGGAAAGAGAAGATGCTTCACCGGATAAACAGCCACAGGGTTTCAATGTCAGTAAAGCACGTAAGTAAAAACAGAAAGTTAGTTTTCATGTTAACTTACGACCTAAGTAAGCTCAAACATTTTCTTTCCTTCAAAATTCCGGAGAAAATTTATTACACTTCTTTTCCACCACAATTTGTTTTTCAATTCCCTTTTATAGAAGTTTGTTATTCATCTGAATATCTATCATATGAACATATCAACAAATATGGGGGGAGGCGGTAAGTAGAGTAAGTTTCGCGTACTACACCCACAAACATACAAGACATTTATAAGAATAACCTTTGTAACTTTGGACAGCTTCAAAGTCATATGGTTAGATTAAACAACAACAACAACAACAATAGAATGTAACAATCCATTTGGCGACTAGGTACTTTTATCTTTCTAAAAAGGACTATCTATAAACAGTAACAAAAATTAAAATGATCCAATAACAAATCATTAATAAAATTAACTTTATTATATTTCATTGCTACATTCGAAATTCCTAAGAAAAAAAAAGAGAAACTGTATAATATAATTAAATTAATATAAAATAATCAAATACTATCTAATAAATATAAATGACAAATTGAAATGATCAATAGAAAACCAATTTGGTTAACTAAAAGAGAACAAACAAACAAACAGGAAAATAACAATAAATTAATTTTTACAATTAAATCATTTCAATTTTGTTACTTTATATGAAATAGGTAAACATGAAGATTATGGTAAAGGGAACTAAGGAATTGGATAGTTTTATTCTTTTTTTTTCTTAAACGAAAGTAAATGATAATGAAATTATAATTTGAAATAATTCAATATTTTCAGAATTCTAAATGATTTATCATAATTTCAATAGTTGAAATCATGAGTCATTTGAAGCTAGACAACCATGAATAATGTGGAAGCACTGGACAGTCGTTTCGCTCCATTGTGGATTCTTCAGCAGTGAGCATCCACGATCCCACCTCCTTCCGCCACGAGATTCGAACCCAGGACTTATCAGTCTCGTGCACCAGCGCTTAACCATTAGACCATTGAGTAGGTCGGCATCCAACGGTGTTAATGTCTAACTTCAAATAATCCACGAAATTGCGCCACCATACACCAATGTCTTCAGTGAGCTGATATCTCACATTAGACCCGGTTGAACTGAACTGATCACAGCTTCTCACTAGAACTCCAGGAAATGCCTCTTGAAGCCAGTCACTAGTGAGCATATCATGATTACTATCAGAAAAAAGATTTTTGTGGATACTATAGTAATGTTATGGTTGGGTTTATGAGTCCATTGAAGCTAGAACACTATGGGAAACCTGAAAGTATTGTTGAGGAATCCCACACTGGGATAAAACGGTCATCCATCTCTGTTTATACATATATATATATATATATATATATATATATATATATATATATATATATATATGACTACTGATTAGTTTGAATAAAATCTGTCTATAAAAGTAATTCACAAAGAAACATCAAACACGTCCATGACAACAAACCTATACAAGTCATTTTTGTTGCTATTCTGTAACCGCTATTTTCTTTCTTTTCTCTTTAATTGTAAATGATTATAATTATTCCATAACGACACTAAAATTAATCTCTGCTACATTATTTATTCTTAAATATGACTTACGAGTCTTCCTGTTGAAAATGTATTGATTCAAAACCGGGATAAATTTTCAGTCAAAACGATTTGAATTATTTCTTTCGAAATAATGTATCATTAAGTTTCTTGTTTTACATGTTGCCATTCTTTTTTGTATCAGTGTAACCATGGCTGTAAAAGGGTATGAATTCCGTATATCAATGTTATTTTTTTTCAATAATTTGATAATGTACCCAGACAAAAAACTGTTCACTTTGTCGAATAATTAAAGACTTTACTTAGATCTTTCTCTAAATAAATTAGCTTTCATTTTTTATCCAACAAATGTTCTGCAGATCTAGTCAAATTATTTAGGATACAAAGTTTCAAACATAGATTGATAAAACAATAATTAACAAAATTATGATTTGGATATTGTTGGTTATAATCACAAGTTTAAATGCTGCCGTATTCTCTATTATTATGAATTTTAAAAATAGCACCTCTGTTGAGTGTTTAAATCGTGTTAGTTAGGCAAATCCAGATGGAATACAAATCCCGAATACATAGGTTTAGTCATTATGCATAGGACATTGACAGGTTTAGCTAAAACTCCTGTCACCTTAGATAAGAGAATGCTCAACTATGCACTACATGACATTTCTCTCTGTTTGTGATACTATAGTAAACGAGAACACAAGTAGGAACAATCGAATGTATTTAAATACAAAATTACAAAACATATTAGTAAAATCTCGGAACCATACAATAAATACTTCATTTGCAAAATATCAGTTAATCATCTCAGACTTTTTTGTTCATTCATTTCCACACCAATCATTCACTGTTCTCATTCTCTTTTCTTCGATCTTATTAACTTTCTTCCTTCAGATATTTCACTTTCTATTGATGATACTCACTACTTATATCAATAGACATCAATGGCACACACCACAATACTTTGGTCATCTAGTGTAATACTACATTTTGAAATGATTATACATTTTGTTGGGCATATACAATATTTAAACTGGCTATTGACATTTAAAAATCCACTGAGATTTGTAACACTTAGTACAGTCGAATTACTAACTTGATTAATTTCCATATAAGCTTTGATGTATATTAAGCCAATTGAGATCCAAAATTTTAGAATTTCTAATAGTTTTAGAACATTCACTACTAATTATTTTGCTTTATTAATGATTTATTATATCGAAAATTTATCATTATTCCATAAGGAATATTTTGTATTGTAAAGTAATCTTACTGTATTTCATGTTGTTTCACTTATCAAAAAGAAAAACAACTTGGAAGTCATTTCAAGATGGATGTACTTTTTCTTTTCAAATTTTACAATTCAACGCAACAATAACTATACATTTTTAGATCAAATATTGAAGAATTATTAAAATTAACATAATTCACAGTAAATAATGAAAACTTTATAAAATCATTTCTCTATGAAAGTCTATATGTTGGGGACGTTAGATCCCCAGAGCTCACTTGGGAAAGGACCTAATTTTGTCATTTTATTTAGAAAATTTGAATCTCCTTGTTTTCGTGCCGATAGCGTTCTTGTCATCTTCATGTCGAATTTCCCACTGGAAAGTATCTTAAATGTTATTGGTCCGTTGCATCTTTTAGTATGCTATTTGGTAACTCTCCCCAAGGACGGTTATGTACTGTATATATACGTTTTGAGTTGTGTTTGTTGTTATCGCTCGTTTCTGGCTGTTTGCAGAATATACTTCCCCATTCCAAGCTTGGACTTATCTCTCTAGACAGCGGGACTGAGACGCATCAACTAGCTAGTTTACTGGTGTTTGGTCACCGAGTCTTGTTTCTCGTTCGCAGATTAAGTGAACTCATGATAGCTTCAACCCTAGCACTATAGTAAATAATAAAAGAATATTAACTTTAGAACCAGAAATTCTGTTTGTTTGTTCTTTTTTTGTTTAAAAATATTGTGATTGCTTTTTATTCTATTTTACTGGATGATTGTAAATAATTCAATTTAATCCGTTGGTAAGTAATTTTCTTAGATTGAACTAACTCAGCAACAACAACAACCAAAAAATATATATTTAGATATTTAATTTTATTGAAGTATTTAGAAAAAAAACGTATTCTCAGACACTTCTATTCTGAATTTAATTAATTTATGATAATACTGAAGTCTAAAAATTCATTGATGAGTATGTTTTAGTAGACTGAAAGAAAAAAACAAAAAAAGAAAAGATTTTTCTCTCAACAGAACTGATGCGTTTATATCATGCTTGCAGATTATTCTTATTCTTATTCTTCTTCTTATTATTATTTGTAGTATAGACAGTTTTCCTAGAAAATTAGATTGAGAATAAAAATACTGAAAATAAACCAATTTCTCTATCCCTTTTTAAAACTATAGGAATGTTGTTGTTAAAAAAAGAAATAATAATAAAAGAAAGAAAAAAGAAATAGACTCACTCAAACCTTATGAACCAATGAAATTGAAGTTGACATTTTCTCTCTCCTTTTTTGATTTCCTTATTTTCATCATTTTAATATAAGTGAGTAGAAATATTTCATATATCATATTTATTGTTGCACAATTAAATGATACTATAAGTTATATTGCTAAGGATGTATAAAGCATGAGTATTGTGTTTGGGTGAATGTTGAGTACGCGCTTGATAGAGCAAATAGCAAAATATCTTGTACTATGATAGATAGACATAACAATTTTTTGGGGCAGATTGTATAACAATAATAATGCTGATTGCTCCGATTTTTGTATTTTGATCTCTTTCGATTAAAAAAAAAATTTTGTTTTCTCCACCTCCACAAGGGCTGAATAATAGAGAATATGGTTAGTGTCGTCTATGTAGACTCCCCTTTTTGAGTTTAGAAAAAGAAAAAGAAATCAAGTATGTACACATAAACTAAAACAACGATTGTCTATCTAAAATATTATTCCACTTTTTACGATAGGTATTTTTCATTTATTCTCCCTATCCTCATGGATTTTAAAGATTCATAAAATAAGCATTAAAGATACAATTTGGTCTGAAAATATCCCCTTTTTTCTCATTTAATAAACTAACACATTATGGTCTATTTAATAAACAATCTGAATTATATATTTCTTTGCATAATTTACATGATAATCAGAAGATATATCATACATTATTTTATCTGAATTGTTAATATTATGGACATAAATTGTAATGAAACTGGTAATACATCAAGTGAGTAATTATTATGTAATAAACTGTTACATAATTTCATTATTTTAATCTATCCATATTGTTAATAAGTTTGCAGAGTATTAAATGATACAGATATGTAATTATGAAAAGTTATTTATAGATTTATATTGTATCTATAATGTTTTGTTTTTGGATATATCATCAAAATAGAAAATTTGCTTAGAAACAAATATTGATTTCTACACCTCTCTAATCAATAAAACATCATAGATTCAATATAAATTACATTTATTTCAATTTAAATGTTTGTTTGTCTTGTTGTTGTTGTTGTTGTTAAAATTACTTTCAAAAGTAGTAATCTAATTTAATGACCGTTATGTAAACTCATATGTTCTTACCTTAAACCTACCCTGGTAATATTGACTTATTATCCAGAGTTATTAGGTTACGAATTGTGTTCACATCATTATTAATACTCTTATCATTATCCTTATCTCCTCTTACCCCGTTTCCAGTCTAGTTGACCTTTTATTTTTATATATAAATGCTTTTAACAAGTATATGTGTGATCAGATTGTTTGAAATGTATTGCGCTAATATATCACATAGTTCTGATAATCTTCGTCTTCTAATTACATTAAAATTTATAAAAGCGACTAATTGTTTTAAATATTACTACTTAAATGAAGAATATTTGAGCGAACAGTGGTTTTCAATAACTTCATCATCAGGCTCTACTGTGATAAGTCCATAATTATAATATTTTACAAAGGCTAAAATAAGGCATGTATTCATGCATTTGACAGTGTTGCTCTACATAGCTGAAGCCATCTGCATCAACTCCAGAGCATCAAACTTTTGTATCGAAAAAAGGTATATCCAGCCTCCATATTTACCCTGGCCCACGACTGGATCACCGGATACCTAAACTGAATATTGTAAACCTTTTAGCCCCACTTTTTTCCCATCACCTCTATCTTAATCGTTACATACATCATTCCTAATTCGTTTATCGTAATTACCTTGATAACACCCCCCGATTACATATTATATTTACAAAACAATATTATTATTGATTCACTTGGTATTGTTTTACTTGAATCTTCCCATTGAGGTTTAAGACTGCACTTGGTCAGTTTCTTATTGACATATGTGCATACTGTGCGTATGCCTCGATATTGCCTTAATTTACAAGCATTATAAGCAATGATGGATAGTAGCTAGCAATGGAATCCAGGACGCGCGTTTCGTCCTGTTTGGGACGCGTCAGCTGGATGTACCTTCATCTCAGAGAGTTGATGTCCACTCTGGGACTCGAACCCAGTACCATTCGCTTCAAACGTCATCGCGTTATCCACTCAGCTACTGAATGCTGATAGTCACTTGCTCGTGCAATGGGTTAATTTAAATTCACTTGGTATTGTTTGGCTTGTATCTTCCCACTGAGGTTTAAGACTGCAATTGATCAATCTGTTATTGGCATATTGGCATTCCACTGCTAGCCACTATCCATCATTGCTTACAAAAATCTTGTGAATTAAGGCAATATCGAGGCTTACGCACAGTATGCACATATGCCAATAAGAGACTGATCAATTGTAGTCTTAAACCTCAATGGAAAGATACAAGCCAAACAAAACCAAGTGAATATTACTACTTTAGTTTAACTTTTTTCTTGTTGATTTATTTTAACACTCATTTGATGTTTATAGATATTTCTTATAAATATTTTTATTATTCGAAATGTTTGTTGAAGCTAGTTGAAAGTAAATACAAGACGAATATGTTGTAGCTCATTATATTCAATAAGATGAACCAATAAAAAAGAGAGAAAATCACCATAATTATATCACGTTAAATAACTCATAATGAATAATGATCATTTCAGTGTGACAGTATTGTATTGTGTATATTCCATTACAAAATTTTTGAAAAAATGTAATCATAGGTCTCGAGATTATTTTCAATTAGACATTTACTGTTAGTTTGAAAGGCATTACTCTAGACTTATTTTATCAGGAAATAAAAATGTAGAGTACAAACCAAACTAGAAAAGAAAATATTGTACAAACAAGTTTAATTCTATTTACATAATTTCACAATCGATCAATTAAATTGAAAATAGTGTATTGATAATGATAAGTTTTCAGATTCATTTCAAGATAACTTATAAATTTATCACCATGATTACTTTCAAACTTAATACAAGAGCAATTCTAAGCTTAACATATATAATATGAAGTGCCGTGCTGTTTGTCATGCTGTTGAATCCATTCGGCCGTTAATTCATTCAACGATTAATAAATCATGCGTAAGAGTTTTGTATTTTTTTTTTGCGCGGCTTTGCTACGACTACAATATCATATTTTTATATCACATTTTTTAATATATTATAATGCAGTTATAATGGGTCCATCCGAAATTCACTTGTGCCAACACTGATTGATTACTTTCAGTCCGACTATAAAAAAAACAAACACTAAAATGCAAAACTACTATCAAATAGACATTCAAAAATTACTAACTTCATGTCCTATCGAATAAAATGATGTTAATGATTTAATACACTCAATTAAGAAATCGAATTTACTTTAAAATTTTTAACATTGTAAAATCATTCATACTTGTGCCTAACTACACTGGGAATTGATAAATATAATTAAATTATTGATTCAGTTGATATTTGTCAATATTCAATGATACGAATAATGTTCATTGAATAAAGTTCTGATAAGATATTTGTTTTACGATATCACGACTTGCTTACATTCGTTACCTCTCGCAGAGGAGCAGCTGCAGCCCATCAAGATCCTCCATTCAATCCTATCCTGAACAATCTTTTCCGTTTGTTATTCATCATTTTTATGTCCACTTACAATTATCGACGCAGTGTGTGCTTTGACCTTCCTCTTTTCCATTTCCCTTCAGGATTCCAAGTTAGCGCTTGCCTCGTAATGCAGTTTGGTGATTTGCGTCATGTATGTTCTATCCACTTCCAACGTCTTCTCCTAAATTCCTCTTCAGCTGTAAGCTAGTTTGTTCTCTCCCACAGTAGTCTGTTCCTGATGGTATCCGGCCAACGGATATTGAGTATTTTGCATAAACAACTGTTTATAAATACTTGTACTTTTTTGATGATGAACGATATCATGAAACAACATAATATTATCTCACTACCAAACACTAACTTTAGTAAGATCAGTTGCAGTAACTACAATTAAAAAATGAACCAGACTGAAAAACATTTAAAATTGTGAATAACCAATTTTTTGTTGGTTACTATACTAAATTATTATTACCTATATACCCATTAATTTCCAAGCCATAACATTTAGGTAAAATAAAAATCAAGATATTGTAGTAGCTAATCACTCATTAACCAAAATATTAATCAAATGTTTTGTTAACTTATATATTTAGTGTAACAGGAAGCTACCTTTGAATGAATGTCAGTTTACGTTCATTTTTCAAATTTATGAAAGATGAATACGGTTCAGAATACAAATATATGAAAACTACTTATCTGAAGTAAACCATTAATAAACAATCAAAATCATTACCATTTGGAAACTATACGCCAATTAAACTTTTTGTTAGAAACCTCTACGACACATGGTAATATTTGATAAACTGATGTACATTTAAACAAAACTGATATCTATTGAACAAAGTGGTTTAACTATGGAATATATTGTAAAGAGGTAAAACGGCCATTATTTTTATTGTGGCCTACCAATTCAAAAAAACTTCAAATAAATTCTATCGGAAACTGATTCCTTTCTTCATTTACGTCTGAACGCTTGAATATACAATGACGTTTGCCAGGTTTTTTTTCACCAAGAATCATGAAAGCTGTTTTTTCTTGGAATCGAATATTTAAACCTTATTCTCACTATATATGCCTAAGCACTCAGGTGTAACTTATTAGATAATAAATTATCATTTAACGATAATCAAAAGTACACTATCACTTCAATTCTGATATAATTAGGTAGTATAGAAACGACACTGCATCAGTGGCAGTAAAATATTGAACTCCCTTTGATTAGTATATGCTAAAGAAACATGAACAAAAACATTCGTTAGTTTAGTCCATTGGAAAACTATGTCAAAACTATGTCAAAAAATGAAAACCATGTCAAAACATACCGAAATAAAACTCATGTATATGACATAATTTGAAGCTAGGTATGTTTTAATTACTTATTTAAGTCGTTTGGTAACTATTCTGTATACTTTAAAAATAATTTTCAGTAAAACACCACTGCAAACTAGCAAATACTGAAAGTTGTTTTATACTAGTCTGTGAAGCCTTAAAAGTACATTTTAGCAAATGAATTTTAATTTTAATGTCAATATTTTTAATTAACTTGTAATATACGGAATCGAACGATGGCAGGACATTTTTTTCAGTTAAAAAAATGACTAAACACCATGACAGCAAGACCAGATGATGCTGAGCATATATTTAGCTTAATAAAGATAGTGTTGTGAATGAGAACATAAGTGTAGACAATCAAATGTATTTGAATACAAAATTACTGAACATGTTAGTAAAATCTGAGAACATTACAGTAAATACTTCATTTGCAAAATATCAGTTAATCATCTCAGACTTTATTGTTCCTTCATTTCCACACCAATCATTCACTGTTCTCATTCTCTTTTCTTTGATCTTCTTAACCTTCTTCTTTCAGGCATTTCACTTTCTATTGATGATACCTACTACTTATATCAATAGACATCAGTAGCACACATACCATAATAATAAAGCGTATTAAAAAGTTTGAAAGCATAATAAATAGTTAAAGATAAAATAGAATAAATATACATTCATCAAATTTGTCAAAGGATTATGTTTGTTAAAAATTTCATTCAAACCAATAAATATAATATTTTTTTCCATTTATTTGATTCATCTTCTTTTGTATAGAATCATTTTACAGAAATAGTCGTTTAAGCATAATAATAATAATAATAATCCTATAAGAAATTAGTTTAGTTGAGATTAATAAACAGATTTTTAAGGCTTCATTAAATTCATAATTACTAATAACTAATATAGTGTTGAAAACCAATATTTATGATTCAATGAATTTCAAATGAAATCTATACAATTAATCACATTCTATTTATTATATATCACACTTTAAATATATACTTCAATCTCCTGCTGATTGATTAGTTTCTATGTCATTAAGTTAGTTTTGATTATTCATGGTCTACTAATCAATTAATAGTGAATGAAACTTATTTCATATTTTCAAATGTAAAAATAAAAATAAATGAAGGTAAGATAAACAATAATAAATAAATGTAAATGCAGATAATTATGTAATAACTAAGAAATGAACATCACACTAACAATGATATACTTCAATGTTTATTTCACGGATTAATTTAAACAAATTCTATACTATGTGTAGATCATTCATAATAAGAACGAATTTTATCTTTACAATTATTTAAGTGGCGCAATTTCGTGATTGGTTGAAGTTAGACATTAACACTGTTGGATGCCGGCCGGCTCAGTGGTCTAATAGATAAGCGCTGGTACACGAAACTGATAGGTCCTAGGTTCTAATCTCGCGGCGGGGCGAGATCGTGTATGTGCACTGCTGTGGAGTCCCATAATAGAGCGAAACGGCCATCCAGTGCTACCATATTTTTCATGGTGGTCTAGCTTCAATCGACTCATGATTCCAACTATTGAAATTATTTAAGTATCAAAATGTATTAAGTAAAATTATAAACAATAACCGGTAATTCCATCGGAAACCAGTCATCCATTAATGAATAATTATTATGACATGTATATGTTAGAAACGATTATCATAAGTATTTTATGGAATATTTTAAGATAATCTTAATTATATTTATTTTAAGTATTTAATCTTATTTATAATATGAACGAGACGATGAATTTAATGAATAATGTAAAATGTGTATAAAGTTATATTTGATATTATGTTGAAACTGTTTACAGTTTAACTGTACAGTATGAAGGATAATTATTTGATAATAAAGAGGTGAGTTTATTATGAAATGGATTTATCTGGAGAATTCTAAAAAAACTAAATGAAGATGAATAGTTGAGTCATTATTGTTTACAATTCTTGAGTGGAATACAACGGTTTATATCTTTACTTTCAGCTTATTACAAAATTTATTCATCTAATGAACAATTTCTATAAATCTACTGAAATATTATTTTGATATTTCAAAACGAACAAACTAACTGGTTATTATTGTTTTTTGATTACCAATGCCAAACTTCTAGATTCAGGATGAAAGAATTTTAATATGATGTTTGTAATAAGCTAACAATAAAAGTCCTAATTCCAACTATTGTTGTTTGAAATCATTAAAACTTATCAGGAAAACATATACTTCACTGTACAATATTCAAGAACAGTCTTTTCTCTCGTATATTACTGCCGTATTTTATTAGTTGCTATTCTTAACTTATTTTTACTACAATTAGAACTGTAGTATAACATTTAGTGCTTGCCTCAAAAGTAATTACTTTATTAGTTTTATTATTATTGGTAAACTACCAATGAAAAGCCTTCACAAGTTTACAACACACACATTCTTAATATCATTATGAAATGACGGAATCAAACCTTCAGTCTTCAAAAATAAATCTTATTTGTGTAGAGCATCCGTTACTGTATTTGAAACTCAAGATTGAAATGGTTCACAAACTTTCTAGTTATTTCCGGTTAGTCATATTAGAGTTCCAGTCATGTGTTAAACTGATATGGATCTTGAGATATTAAACCATTTTACTCTTAGTTTTTATTTGCTATGAGACAGAAGCATCAGGACTTATAAATTAACCTTTTCTGAATTGAACTGAGAAAACGGTAAAAGTGATTATATAAAGTTTCTGGATTAGTACAGCTTTACGTGTGTTTCCTACATAAGTGCATCATGTCAACACTATATCAATGCATAAATATACGGCACTGTGATCAAAATAGTTTGTCTGTTAGTTATTTTTTGGCAATAGTTCTGGAACACTGAATATGGTTTTTAAAAAAATAGGGAATATTAACTTGTGTATGATGAATATTTAAGTATATTTTTCAAAAAGATTAGCTTTTTTTTACTCAAATTATCTACTCGTTCCTGGTGTAGATCCAGTTTACATATACGTATTATTGAGTTGGCATCTGTTACCATTGGGTCAGATAATCTCCCTGGTTTATATTCGCCCGAAAAAAAGATGATCAGCCTAGAGCGCTTGAAAAAAGTGATTTTTATTTTTAACTTATAAAGATGAAATTCATCTTTTCTTAAGGCTTGTTGAAATTATATCCTATGACAACTATATTAGTTTGCCTAAATAATATTTTTTGTTTGAACGAGCTTTTCACGCTATTCTGGATTTATGTAAGTAAATTCACAGGAAATATATATAAATATTATGTTCGGAAAACTTTAGGATGAATCATGCAGTGTTAACACACATGTCCACACAATCGAAACTGGCAACTACACCTAACCTTTGTGCAACTGCTTAAGAAACTCAGAACACATATATGACCGATAATATTATCTTTCGTCAATAATAGGAATTTATTAGGTAAAATATCATTCGTATGGTTATTTAAGAAATCCCAAGAAACTATTACTTAGTATACTAGTTTTGTATATCTGAGGCAAAAGTTAGAGTAAAGCTTCAATAGTTATTATTTGTGATGAAATTTTGTTTCTGAGAGATGCTTACAAAATGAATCTTAAGTGGTATAGCATGATAGAAAAGGAATTCAACTAGAAATCATTGTTCATCACACATTTCGCTATCTGAGCAACTGAATAAATAGCTGTTCATAATTTTTTCTAGCTTTCAAGCTATAGTGATATGCAGTTACTCTGAGTTAAGCCAGTTTTTCCGATAAATACATAACTTTGGATAATTACGGTTGAATAAATCTAATATATACAGTCAAGGACGGAATATTTCTATTGTAATGATCTGCTAGTCATGTTATGTTCATATTTAGCACCTTTAGTAGCATAGTTCACGTGTTTGCTAGACAGACAAAGTAATCTTATTCTAAAGGACAAGGTATTGGCTAGTTAATAAAGCGCTAAAATGATGTTTAATTATAAATTAAAGCATCGTGATGTATGTGCGATTATACACATTACTGACACAATTGTATGTGGTCAATACTGACTTAAGTTTACATAGGGATTTAATCCATCTGCCTAAATTATTAAGTTTCCGTGTATTGTAGGTCTTGGTAATATTGTCGTAATGTAGTTTAATATTTCTGATAAGTAGCAATTTAAAATAGGGTATTGATGTAATTTGCTAATTTTTATTCGGCTCAAGGCGATTGCTAAGTAAAAACGACTAAAACTATTCTAATACGAACAAAATGTATTTTGAACGCTATAGTACGGTCAATGATATACATAAAGCAACAATAGTTATTTCCAAACAATGGAATCCTAGAAGACGATAGAAGTACAGGAAAAAACCTAACATTGAATGGAAACGAGAAATGAAGTAGAATGACATTGTATGCATGAAACAAACATGACCTTGGGACATAGGAAAAAATGTAAACTAAAAATGTGACAGCAACGGTCATGAGAAATAAGACCTAGGAAAAATGTATTCAAGGTTATACAGAGGAGAAACTAACATTTATAAATAAGCTAAACAACTTGAGGTCTTCGTACCAGGTGTACTGAACGTTATTTAGACTCAAAATAAACAAAATACACAAAACTTGTATTTCTTTTTTTTGAAAAACATTCAGGACGAATAGTCTTGTTATTTCATAATAGATGTACCACATGTGTTCATTAAGGGACATTTGCTAAGTAATTAACCCACTAGGTTAGGTCATAGTATATGAGTGTTATTTCATAAAAGTAATTGTCTAGAAATAAGTGTAGACGATTTGACCGGCAAACTGTTAACAGAATTCTGATTTACAAACGTCAATTTCCCTTGTTTGTTTTTAAAAACGAGTAGTTACTATTTACTCAAAGGATTTGTAAAAACGATGTATAACTATAAGTTGGGCAAAATAGGCTCTATCAGTAGGGAAGAAATCTAAGAGTATTTCTGAAGAGAGAGGGATGGTGGCTAACAGTGGAATCCAGGTCGTGTGTTTCATCCTATTTTGGACTCATCCGCTAGATATGCTCGTATTCCATAGTTGATATTCACTCTGGGACTCAAACCCAGTACCATTTGCCTCGAATGCCATTTTGTTATCTACTTAGCTGCTGAGTACAGATAGCCACTAGCTTGTGCAATGGGGTAATTTTTAATTTATATATAATAATTGTCTGAATCATTCCATTGATGCTTAAGACTGAAATTGGCTAGTCCCTTTAGATATATGTAGATCCTGTGAGGATTGCCTCGGTATTGCTACCGAGTCACAAACAATTGTAAGCAGAAACGAATTGTGGCTAGAAGTGGGGTCCAGGATCCGCGTTTCGTCCCATTTAATAATACATGTAAATCTGGCGTGTGTTTACGATGTCGACCCAAGGCTAACTGACTGAAAGCATTGACGAGTTCTGGGTTGTAACGATAACATATTTAGCAATTTCGGAAATCTTATTTGCTTTCATTTTAATTTTAAGTGTATACTGATATTACTAGACGATTTTGTGCTAATCTACGAACAAGTTAAAATCGTATTGACTAATGACGAATAAATTAAACTTCAGTTTTCATGAAATACTATTTTGATTTTAACAGACTCTTTACAACATAACAAAAATTATCCAATAGAAGATACTGATCTGTTCAGTCTACGTGAAAAGTGTACTACAACAAAGTATGAAGAATACAATCATAATAATGAATTAATTGATATATCATCATTTAGTGAACCAAATAATATGAACATGCAGCGTTCATATCACGATGAAATACAACGTAGTCAACCATTATGTAGCAAAATAGAAAATTCTCAAATTAGTAATAATATATCTGCACAATCTACAGAAAACAGTATTCATTCAATAGTTTCATCTCTTAAAGATAAATCAGATATATCTTTACTACCAATAAATCAATTTACTACTCCACCTTCAGTTCAATCAACTACAGGAATAAATGACATCTATAATTTTTCATCATTACTTTCCAATTCCACTCTATGGTTATCTCATTTAATGAAAAATAGTCAACTATCGATGCCGCCTTCAATAAATTCAGTCATATGGCCAAATACTAGTTCACATGTTAATCATTTCACAGAAGAAATGACAAATTTTAATTGGCATTTAGGTTATAAAATGATAAAAGAGTAACAAAAAGTGATAACTATGGTATTACGTTTTCAAATGATGGTTTTCAGCCATTTTCTAATAGAACATTTGATCCGACAATGATTAACAAACAATCAACACAAGCAGATCTTGCAGTCCAACATCTGAATTTAAGTGAACAAAGCATATATGACCGTATGGATGCATATAAATTACCCAAACCTGACTCAACTTCAGAACAAGTTTTAACTGATGGAATAAATGAATTAACATCAAAATTTCGTGATATTAAACGTGTCAGTCATAATGGATTATATTGTATTGTTTGTGGTGACATCAGCAGTGGAAAACATTATGGTATTTTAGCATGTAATGGTGTAGTGGTTTTTTTAAACGATCTGTCAGGCGAAAACTTATATACAGGTATAGAAATTTTCAAATAAATCAGTTTTATGTTTGTCTTTTTCAGCTAAATTTCCATAAACCATGTCCATGAAATTTCATTTATAACACTGATTCTAATGATCTCTTTAACTAATAAGGTACTATTCAGTCAATTTATACAGGTTCTATACGCTAATCATTATTATTAATTCTATAATATTTTCACAATTGAATTCACGAGTTGATTTAAGATAGACCACCATTGAAAGCCTGAAAGCACTGGATAACTATTTCGTACTAGCATGGGACTCATCAGCAGTTCACATTCACGATCCCTCACGTGAGACTCCAACTCAGTGCTTAATCTCTAGACCAGTGAGCCGGCAACCAACGGTATTAATATGTGTTTTCTGGAGTTCTAGTGAGAATCCGTGAACAATGGAGTCCAATCCGTGTCAGGTAGAGACAGGTTCTGAGTCCGAGTCTCGTGTTAGGGATCGTGGATCACACTGCTGAGGGATCTCATACTAGTACGACACGGTCGACCGGTGCTTCCAGGTTTTCAATTTTGATCTATCTTAGATTGATTCATGAATTCAATTGTGAAATCAGTACAATCTCCAGAAATCCCCATACTGATAATTCTATAATAGTTGAAGAACTCATTTTTTAATACCCAGCCAATGTACGATATCTTAGATGCTCATAACCTACTAAATTCGTAAAGTTTTTTTAAACATTTCTTGAAGATATAGATTAATAATGAATTTATTTTGTGCCAATCAACCTAATGACTATTTTCATTATTAACTATTAACAACAAGATAAATCGATATCACTTTGACATACATGAATTATTTTCTATTCATCGTTTTTCCTATAGATGTCAAGCTGGTAATGGTTTATGTATTATTGACAAAGCTCACAGAAACCAGTGTCAAGCATGTCGAATGAAAAAATGTATCCGTATGGGTATGAATAAAGATGGTAAGTGAATGAATTAATGAATATAAGTTTGAAGTACAATAGTTGAAAAATTTATTGGTTAAAATTAATTTTATCATGAGCATTAACATTGGGTTGATTTTTAGTTTACCTGTCGTAAAATAATACTATATTACAAAAAATAAACCTATGGTTATACAAGAATATTAAACGATTCCGAAAATCATTTGTTGTAAATCATTGACGCTTTCGATGTTGCCATAGTTATAATACAACATCAGCATTCCAAATCTCTGTTCAGAATAAACAGAACTATTATTGAGAAGGAAATTTAAAATCACTATATTTTATGGTTTATATTGATTGTGTGGATTAATAAGTTATTAGCTGAACCAGTGTGTTATATCAACTTTGGGAATAAATTCGAATTCGGTGTAGTTTGCTACTATACTGCTGATCATAGTTACACAATGAGGCTGAGTTGAAAACATATAAATAACTTATAGTAACTGTAAGATGATAGAGAAACGAAGAGTGGGAGTATATTTTTGGATTCATTAATATATATGTCGCATAAGTGGGTCGTAGGATAATGAGTATTCCCTGATATTTGGTAAATCTGATTCAATAAATGGTATGTATCAACGATTAATTTAAACTTTCAACTAGTCAAGATAAAATATTCGGTCGATAAACATCAATCATTATACAAGGTTTTCATAAGCTGAGCTGATTATTACCGTCATGATCGGCAAAAGGAGTTCAAACTTAAAAAAAGTAAGTTCCAATTATTTCCAACAAGTAAAAATATCGCAGTTTGACTTATTAACGACCATTACATGAATGGAAATTTGACATATTGTTATTCTACTAAACTAATTCATACTTTTGAAACCTCTGTAATGGTTGTTTCCTCAACTTTTAACTCTAGAATGTGATGACTTATTAACTGTGTATTTCTTAGCAGGCTGATTCTCTTAGTATCGCTATGAATTCACTTGAGAATATTCAGAAACCAGTTGTACTAAGAAAGTTTATTTTGTAGTAATTTGTTTAATTCATGGGCATTCAATGAGCAAGCACATTTGGGAGTAAGTGAGTAAAAAGGAGGAAAATTTAGATATAAAAATGTTTTTATGGGTGCTAATCGATATTTGAGTAAAGTTACTGATTATCCGTGTATACGATCAGTGACAGAATAGACAGGATTCAGACGTTTAATCAAACTGTCAAATTAGTAATCATAATGCATCAAATATCTAAATTTTAATAAGTAGATAAAAGAATATCATTAGCTTTACTTGACCTATCTTATGCGGCCTGGCAAAATAGGTCATACAAATAAAAAGTCGCGGAAGGCTTGTTATACATTGACTGTTACCACTTTAAATCAAAAAGCAAAAGGAGTTCAGTAAAATTAATGTACCACTAAAAAACATTTGTCGTTGTTTCAAGGATTATTATTATGGATATTGTAAAAATTGTTTAGACCTCCAATATAAGTAAAATAATGATCTGTGACATCAGACCAATGATCTGATCAACTAGTCTATTAAATAGGAACATCGGTTAAGTTCTCATACTATTTTCATCATTAAGTTATTTTGTACTATGTAGATAATTTAATGCTGTTGTGTAAAATGCCACAGAAACCAACATTCTTCAAGCAATATGAAAATTTAACTCCAATGGACAGTTGGACGATATTGATGTAGACAATCCTCAACAATTTTTATCTCTTTAATGATGAATAATACATGGACAGATTTAGTTGTCTTCAAAATGAAACGTGACATTGTTTGTAACTAAAAAGTAATAATTAGACATTTGAAAACTCAGTTCATAAAAACGAGATCAAAAACTTTGATCTAATGCACAAAATAAAAAATTAGTTTCTTTGAATCGATAGCCAACTATATCAATAAATTCATATTGCAAATAAATCTTGAATATATAGTTAAAGAATTTTTTATTATTTCAGCTGTTCAGAATGAACGCCAACCAAGGAAGAGTTCACACTTTACCGCTCAAGGTAATTCAACACCACCTAAGCGTCAAGCACTAGAGATATCGCATTCGCCAAATGACAAATCATTTATTTCAGAATCTGCTAATAGCGAACTGACGAACGATAAGTCGTTTGGAGAATCAATTAGCGTACCTAAAGATAGCTCAAACCATAGTGCTTCTGACTATACACCACTTAATGAAAACAATCTATCGGAAGGTGTTAACACTTTTGAAACATTTTTGCAAACGAATCAGAGTGGATTCAAAAACACCGTTTAAGGCAACATAGTCATATGTTAAAACGTTAAACTCATTACACCACAGAAGGTTATCAAATAGAAAGTTCACTAATAAGATAGAAGCTTTCAATGAACCGAAATTTGTTGACACAACTAAACTCCACCATTATCTAATGGGAAACAATTTACCTTTATGCCTTACTAATGCTCAACCAAATACAATTTCGTCTACCACTGAAAACTCAAACAACTTTTGCTTCATCCCATCTGTTTCTGTGATAAACGATACGACTAATCATCATCCATTTTATATGAACCAGTTTCAAACAATTAATTTACCAACATCAAAGCCAACGAGCACAACCTCAGTTAACCTGGACCATAGAGCCCCTAGACCTTCATCGTCCTCTTATTCAGATGTAAAAATGCAAAAATTTTATTTACATTTATTAAATATTTTCAATTTATCTAATAACCTCGAAGTTACAAATGGAGAAATCCTAAGTTCAAGCAGAAATGATACAACTGATGGTGTGGCACGAAAGAATTTGGAATATACAGACAATTTACCAGAAAGTAAACGTCAGCAAACTTCAGAAAATCTCACTAGTCACATAGAAAGTAAAGATATTGGGTTAAGCATTAGCAATATTTTGAAAAATCTTCATAATTCTTATTTAAGTGACTGTATTTGTGGTAGTGACGAGATTTCAGGATCAAAATCTACAAACCATTTACCCCCAAATAACTTTACTTCTACGCCAACTCCAAATAATTATTGTTTACCTACAAACAATTCTTCTCATCTCTTAAATAATAATAATAACATAGATGACACTAGTACAATAGTCTGTCAAGAATCAATGAACAAAAGTTCAGCTGGATCAGATAAACAGAACAAAGGTAGGTCTTTGCAAATGGCTTCTAATGACTAATTAATAACTTTGTAAAGTGTATAGTTTAACTCTTTTATAGGTACAATATCATCTACAAAAAAAAGCATTCTAAAAATCTGGATTTTGATCAGGTTGAGTAGTTTGTAGAATTTCGAATGATGTAATTCATTGACCAAGTACATGTTATTACATTCAACATAGAGTTCAGTGTTTACAATAAATTGTTTACGACTCACACTGAAATAAAACAGAGAAATTTAATGAATTTTAGGGATAGATTTAAAGTTTTAAATAATCATTTGAGGAAGAAAATACTTTGATAAGGCCATTTGGCGATATTTGTGTATTATGTACAAAAAGCCTTCAATCATCCATCTACATCTCGCGATTTGTTCTGTAATATAGTTAGTCCTAAGCCATCACTTCTGGCATTTTAATGTTTTTCAAAAGCCGTGTTTTTTGACTTGCTGAAAATCTTCTCTCCTTCAGCCATCTGCGACAATTTACACATTAATTTTCACCACACATTACTTACGAGCAATCTTGTTGGTAGTATTCATTACAAGTTAGCAAAACATTATCGTAGAGGTTAAAGCAGTTAAACTGCTAACTAGTAAGTTAGATTAATTCAGAAATGCAAGTTTCTTTATTGGACTTTTGAAACAATCAAAAAATCATCTCTAGTTTCTCCTGTTACTGTGTTTTAGGTCTCTTTTAGGTTTCTAAAAAAAGGCTGCTTTAATCACTACATTATACTTAAGTTCACGTTACTCAATTTCAGTTTGAAGTAAATATGTTGCTACATAAAATTGTTTTGTTTTTATAACTCAAATTTATAGATTTATAGCTTAAAGATTGATCGATTCTGCAATAGATTTTACGTATACATCATTGGAAAACGAGACATTTAGAAGATACTTAGGTAAAAATAGTATAAAAAGATAAGTAAAATATTTCCTGGTCTTATTTTAATATCAAGACAGCATACCGTGCTTTATTATCACTGAATCCTATGTAAACTATTTCAGTTACAAATGAAAAATTATAGTATTCTTGGCTTCGAAACTTTTGGAAGCTTATTTTTCAAAATGCTTTTCGCAACTCAACGAAGAATAACAAAGGGAAGTTACCTAATAGTAAAATGTTACACGGATAATTCTTTAACATATTTTACATATTCACTTTTGCATAGGTCAGTTGTAGTCGACCTATGACCTTATGTCTTGTTGATTGGTTGTTCCACAGATATGAAAATAATCTCACTTAAGAGTATTCTTTGTAAAATATTGTAAACATATATTTGTCTTCGTTACTATCAATGAGAACATTTGATGACTACTGAATTTTATAGAAACTGTATATGAGAAAATTGCCAAATAAATTCATCTTCAAAACTTTCCAAAAACATTAGTTAATTTGAAAATTTAAATTTGATGTGTGGTATTCGACCAAGTAATTACAGTAAAATACCAACCAAACCTGTTGTCAGTTCTCAAAAAAGTCCCATTCTTACCAACATTACCAATAAATCTTATGGATACATTCCCAATAATTATTGGTGAGCAACATTCCTTGAGACATTTATTGTAACAGATTTAAAGTGATGTATGTATGTAGTATATATTGTCAATCAATACCAGTTTATGGAGCATGAAATGATCAAATTCCTTTTCCCAAACGAGATTTCGATTAAAGATAAAAATACACTACTGCATAGTTTATGCACATTGTATTTTAAATTTGTACATGGTGTTTAGCAATAGAATTTAGCACATTGGTTTCACTCACTTTTGCGCTCGCCTGATTTATATAACTCCATTCCAGTATAAATGATTACAATAAAACTTGGATTCAGTACCCATTGGTTTAAATGTAGTACCCTTACAAACTAAACTACCAAGTCATAAAATTCAACATATTCCTACATACAAACTTAGATCCGTGCATGATTTTATTGAAATTCATATCTGATTATAAACAACCCTTATGCTTAACAATAAATCATGGTTCATAATTTTTTCTCATCAAAAATTTACTGTTTTATTGTTATTACTGTATTTTTAATACATAAATCAGTGTTATAATAGAATCCTTAATGAAAACTAATTCTATTTATATCCCAATTTATTTTTGAATATTTAGATGAAAAAGAAACGAGAGACTTATGTCTAAATAGAACAATTCAGCAATTTGAAGAGTACATGAAAGCCTACAGTTTACAATCATCATTAACCTCAATTAAGTGTAATGAAGTTAATAATTTAATCCCAACTGAGAAATCACCTAAAAAAAGTTTATATTTAGCAAGTCCAAATACTGGTACCATATCAGATAATGTTCAATCTTTCTATAGTACCTTTCCAATATGTACCAAGAATAATCTCGATAAATGGTTTCATGTTCAAACAAAAGATCAGCTTCAATATTCAAATGAAATTTTGTCTCAATTAAAACCAGACTCTGCAAATCAAATTAATATCTTCATTGATTTTGTATTTGAGTCAAATACTTCGCTAACAAGATATCCTGGAAGTCAAGCTATAATACAGAAAATGTTCTCAGAAGCATTTTATCCATTGATTGAAAAACTTTTAAACTGGGTTTCTGGAATTCCACATTTTGCTGGCCTATCTAAACAAGATCAGGTATTCGAAAGTTTTAGAAATATATTGTACATTAATGTAATAAATTGTTATAACTATGTTTACGGGGAAATTATTAATAATTCAAGTCCTAACTCTCTATCTTTAGAAGCTTCGTTTTCAGCGAAAAAGCGAATAAGGCTAAGTACTATCAAAGAGACTCATATTATAAAACTAAGCTTGTTATCACATTTTGTATTACAATTTTCCCTTTGGGATAACTCTTGATTTTTATTTGTTCTTATAAGTAACATTTTTATATACTGCAGTTAATAGATGCTTATGACTTTGGAAGATCATTGGAAAAAGCTTCTAAACTAGATTATGCATTTTTGGTTCGAACACATATGGGGTTAATAGTGAGTGATTCTGAGAAACTCGTGGTTGGAACAAAACAGTTGTTTAAAGTTTCCTGGATCTCAGTAGTTCCGCAGTCGATGTAATTTTTTTTTGATACAACATAACGTCGGTAAGAGCTAAAAAGTAAAATCAGTATTTCAGATGATCCCGATGTTCTTTAAATAATCATTTAGATTATTTCCGTTCACTTTGTTGTTAAAATAAAGGAAAACAAAAAATATTGTAGTTGATTACATTTTTATCCCCATGCCTAGAATTAAGCAAATAATAATTGTACACTTATGCCGCAAACTTTTTGAATCTAACCATGTTGGGAGTGAAACAGTGGTCACTAGTGGGATATGATAATAGTCGTTCAATATTTATAACTTTTCAAATATGAAACTATTTACTATTGGACTCTAAAAGCGCTTATTGCGAGAAGAAAATATTCTGAGTTTGAACGTCACCAGGTAGTGTTTTGTGATGATGTGTCCTATGCTAGGGGTTAAGCTCTAGGTTTGATTCACGCTTGCAAGTTCGTGGATGCTCACGGCTATGAAAATTCATACTAGGATTAAACCCACACTTACTGCTCCCAGATATTCCATAAATGTCTAGCCTTGATCTATTTGTAATTTCAATGTAATTCAACGGTCTCTAAAACCATATACTGATTATATATAACATATATATGGTATACTGCATTAGCAGATAAACATATAACCGTTTAATTTATCTAAGCATCATATAGACAGCTAATATATCCTAATATGAAAAATCCCGAAAGTTTTCACTTAAAACCTAAGATCATTATAAGCTTAAGTTCTTAAACGTATGAATCATACATGACACCATCCAATATTCAAACTGAGATGAAAGTTAATTACATAATGAATTATATTTTATAAATATGATCAATGTGTCAATTTCAGTGAGTTTGACATGTGGAAAATTTTAATATACACACTTATAGATAATTACTGAAATATTTGATAAAGATTACGGTTTTCTGAAAGAAAAAAAGTTTTACTTTTTATTCATTAAAATTTTCTTAATTAAAAAAAACCTGCTGAGTTAACATTCTGTTATTGTTGTTGTTGAGGGTGTTTTGTTTTGTTGTTTTTTTTTTCTATTCAGAAAATTTTATTCTCTCGAACATGGTTAAATGTACTGATGTTATTCTGGTTAGAAAATCAACATAAACAATTACAAAACTCTTGTAATCGAACAAACTCTAAATGTCAATTTACGGAAAACTGTTGGAATTTGTTCATAGATTTATGTGAAGAGTATCGAAATATTCAGGTAAAGTTTAATTTTAAAGGGAGAAAATATTTAAAAAATGGATCATAATCTCAGCGATTGAAATTTAAATAAATAATTCCAACGTTTCGTCCAGCTAACTTGTCTGGACTTCTTCAGGGTAATAATCGAAATCATCAAAGTTAGCTGGACGAAACGTTGAAGTTATTTAAATTTCAATCGCTGAGATTATTTCAAATATAGTTCTCACATATAATGACGTCGCTTTACTCGGCGTCCAATTTCTGTCAAACTATTCGTTCTAATCTTGACGAATAAATATAAACTATCTTACTTTATTTTGAACACTAACAACAGATAAGCATTATTAGCCTGTTTTCAGATAGTAACAGAACAAAAAGAGAATAAAACCGTTATAGGTTGATAGTTAATTCTGAATATTTTTCAAGTGATAACTAAGATAAATCATAAAATGGTGATTGATTTTTCATTATCTTTCACCCAGTTAAATACAAACGGGAAAGTTTGTCAAATTCATTAAGAAGATTATGTACAAATATAAAAATAGGACGAAACGCGCATCCTAGATTCCACTGCAAGCCACTATCCATCATTGCTTAAAAAAAGCTTGTGAATTAAGGCAATATTGAGACATACGTACAGTATGCACATATGCCAATAGCAAACTGATCAACTGCAGTCTTAAACCTCAATGGGAAGATACAAGCCAAACAATACCAAGTGAAATATAATTATTATTTATAACTTGATTTTTAGTATTCCTAAGAATTATTTAAGTACATAGTTCACCAAAAATTGCAAACAAACAAGGCGTTAGTGACGTTACAACTAATCAAAAGTAGAACACAGTAAAGAGATAACTGATAAAGTAAATAATGAATCTACAACAATAATAAACAATTAAACATGTTCTGTTTAATTAGTTACTTTGAAAGAAGTTAAACGTTCCGAATACTATCTAGATAAGATGTGACTGATTCTGTATTGCACTATAACTTTCATTAAATACTGTCTTATTAATTAATTGATGCTATCATTATATAAATACTGAGAAAGTACACAAAATGTTAGTAATTTACATGGTGAAATGATATTAGAAATTAGTAAGCGAAATAGACGAAATCACTAGCTGAAATCCATAAATTATCCCTTGAGTGACTACAGTGTTTGAAATATAAGTAATTCCAACGTTTTTTCTACACACTGATACGAACTTCTTTAAGGAATATATATTTAACATCGATTTACTTTGGTCTCGATTTCCATCAAATTGCTCGTTGAAATTCTGACAGACGATTATCGAAATAATTTGCTTCGTATCAATACAATACTGAAATAGTATAAGATATAAAATCATCAAGAAATGTAAGAATCAACCGGTCGAATTGTACTCATTTAACGGCTCCCAAATGCCCTGATACGGCTGACGGTTGAGAGAGTCAGCTCTCCCTCTCTAAATGCTCTCACATGACCACTCGTATATAGCCACTGCCCGAGAAGCCCTACTCACTGCATTCTCACGGCATTGATGCTGCTTACGAAATTGAGAGGATAAAAAGCGAATGTCCAGTGTTTAGACCGTATTGGTTGATATAGAGGATCCACCAAGGAGAGTTGGAAAACCCTAATTCCAAACCAATGGTGCATATGGGCTCCAGGATCTTAATGAAACAAATGGCGTATGAACCAATTATTTCTTACCGGCTATCATGGGACCACATATCCTGACGTTGGTCCACCGCCTTGTGAATCAGACCTTCATGTTAAAGGCTCCGGGTGTGGTCCTCTAAGAAAACCACCTGCTTCGGTCTGGGCACCCGGGCAGTATCACAGCCCACACATAAATTAGGTGAATTGTGCGAAGGGTATGCATTTGGTGCCCCTTTGTACCATTATTTTGTGTTCAAATAAATAAACAGTATTCACAATTCAAATAACTGTGAAGAGGAAAAGAAATCGAACAAAGACTTATCATTCGAAATGTTCACCATAGAAATCAAATACTAATCATCAGTAATTTACGAGTAGAAAATTCATTTTCTATCTTTTAATTGTCATTAATAGATCAAACCTAATCAAATGCAAATGATTTTTGTACTTTGGTTTGATATTCACTTTATTTTTAGCATCAATTTATCAACACTGAATAGAAGTATTCATCATTTCTAGGCTTTTAAATCATACTTACTTATACCTGTCACCACTCGTGAAGGAGCATAGATCGCCCACCAGCATTCTTCATCCAACTCTGTCCTGGACAAACTTTTCCAGTTCTTTCCAGTTGCTATTCATACTTTTCATATCTGCTTACAGTTACCGATGTAATGTGTTCTTCGAGATTCCTCTTATCAGCTTCCCTTTAGGATTCCAAGTTAGCGCTTGCCTCGTGATGCAGCTTGGTGATTTCCACTTCCATAGTTTGACCCTAATTTTCGCTTCAACCGAAAGCTAGTTTGTTCTCTCCTACATTAGGCTGGTGCTGATTGTATCCAGCATACGGATATTGAGTATCTTGAGTAGACAACTATTTATAAATACTTGAACCTTCTTGACGATGGTTGTAATAGTTCTCCAAGTTTTGGCTCCATACAGTAGAATTAACTGTCTTGACGTTCGTATTGAAGATTCTGACTTCGATATTGGTTGACAGTTGTTTTGAGTTCCATATGTTCCTCAATCGTAAGAATGCAGCCCTTGCTTTGCCAATCCCCGCCTGTGCGTCTGTATCTGATCCTCCCTGCTCATCGATGATGCTTCCCAGGTACTTGAAATATTCCACATCCTCCAGAGCTTCTCCACCAAGTGTGATTGGGTTAGTGTTCTCCGTGTTTCAATTAAGGATCTTGCTTTTTCCCTTGTGTATGTTGAGGCCTACTGATGCAGAGACTGCTTCTACACTGGCCGCCTTTACCTGCATTTGTTCGTGTGTATGAGATAGAAGAGCTACGTCATCTGTGAAGTCCAAACCGTTTAGCTAATTCCGAGCTGTCCATTTTGTTCCGTGCTTCCGTCAGATATGTACGTCTTCATAATCCAGTCATTCACCAGGAGGAAGAGTAAGCACCTTTATCTGACTCCGGTGCTCATTTCGAAGTTTTATTGTACGTGTTGGTTACTTTAATTATTGTACATCAATTTCAAAAATTATACTTCTTTCGATAATGGATCTATGACTATTTTCCATCGTAAATCTAATTGTTCTCAATATGGACAAATTTAAATGTCTCCAAATAACCACATGTTTGTGTGATTTTAAAACTAGGTTTCATGATATTTGACACTCATCAAAATATACTTACATTCATCAGAAAACTGACTCACTTTATTTGATTGGTACCTGCATCACTTAACTTCAGAATCTGAAAAGTTACAACTGGGCTATATAGACTGCAACTGACCTCTTACCGTACTGAGATATTCACGACCCTGTAATGCCACATGTCACGATCATCTAGTCCTCTATCGTTGATCGAACTCTTTCAATCATAACAAATTATGGCCGCCAATCTTAGATGTTGGGTGGTTGGAAGTAGCTGTCAAGAAACTTAGGATCTTGGTATGCAAATATCTATACAGTTTAACAACATATATTGTGACAAATGCATTACTATTTTACTAGTGAGTGAGACATAAGCTGTACTCGTAAATATTTTTGAAATCAGCAGTATGACATTATAAGCTGAAGTTCCGTTGTGTCAAGTTCCAATCAAATTAATTTAAGTTTTTGGATGTTTTTGTTCCAATGAATTATATTTTCGGTTTTAATTTTTTTCTACAATCCTGACAGCCTGATATCACTGAGTTAAATTTATTGAAAATGATTCTTCTCTTCAATGTGGATCCATTAGAAATATCCAGAACTGAAAGTATTGATTATATTCAAAAACAATTAAGATTACAATTAACCCAATATGAATGGATTACTCATCCAAATAATATATCAAGGTGAGAAGTCTTTTTTTAACCAAATGTTGAATATTAAATATAATGAATAGCTTTTGATAGAGTTTTGTTCTCTGAGCTGGATAGTTTGGTTGTGGAGGTTTCATCCTTTTTATGAACGATATCATCAGCACAAACTTCAGGTAGATTCGAACGCTTCACTTCTATCTGAAGTTTGTGCTGATGATATCGTTCATAAGAAGGATGAAACCTCCACAACCAAACCATCCGACTCAGAGAACAAAAATCTATCAAAATCATCCACCTGAGTTACAAATCTTCTCCACCATCTCATAATGAATAGCTTCCATGGACATATAGAATTAAACTTTTTTAGAAACAAATCCAATCATATATTTGTTCTTTTTATTATCAATAGATAGCTCAAAATAACTAGTACACAACCTAATTGAAATGGGATCAAAATAATGAATTTATCTTATAGTTTTTTCGTATGTAACCTACAATAAATAGTTCATTATACAAAACAGTAAAAGAGGAAAAAGTGTAAAAGGTTATGATACAAATAGTAAATTCCAAGTAATCAGATATCGATCATTAAAATCTACACCTTAAATACTAAAAGTTACCCATATGAAATTCAATCTAAAGGATGCTTTAATACTAGTTCCATTATAATTAAACTATTTAATAAATATTACTTGTTTTTAAAATAACATGTTATAGTTAATGTTGTACTGTTAAACTGTTGGATATAGTTGAAATAACATGGTATCTATCCAGTGTAGAATTCAAATATTTATCTATTTTAGAAATCTTTTTGTTTTTAGAATTTTTCTTTTCGGATCATAACTAAATTTTAATAAGAACTCATTTAACCAAAACTTGCGATCAATCAAACTGTTCCAAAAATATCAATGAAATGGTTAATACTAAGCTTTGTTATAGACAGAGTTATAACAATAAGGACTGTCGATTTTTGGCTTGGATAATTTTTAAAAAAACGATTGATAAATAATGAATGAAACTTTTAGTATTAAAAGTTCACAAATGAAAGACTAGAGTACATGTTAAAAGTTGTTCACTTGACAACAAGCTCACCGCTGTTAACATATTAAGGTTAGTCTGAAACAAGAAGTTGATGTATATGAGTCCATTTTGAATAACATAGTATGGCTATATAATATAACTAAACACAATAGATGATATGAAAACAAACAAGCTTTTCTGCAGTGCTGGAGAAAATGATTAAAGTAATGTTCTATAAATAATCTTTTCACAATACATACAAATATTTTGCTATCTGTTCTTAAATACAACTATGCCCCCTCCGTTTTGAAATTCTGCCTTCATTGGCTCCTTCAGTATTATATGACCACGATCTTTTCAACTGAATTTACTTCATAGTTGAATTCATGAATCAAGTGATGATAGATCACCATGCAAAAACCTGGAAGCACTGGACGGACGTTTCGTCCTATTGTGGGATCCCTCATCAGTGCGCATCCACGATCCCGCTTCTAGAGATTCAAACCCATGTCCTATAAGTCTCGCGCGCGAACGCTTGACCTCTAGACCACTGAGCCGGCATCCACTGGTGTTAATGTCTAACTTCAACTAATCCACGAAATTGAGTGACACATCCACCATTGTCTTCAATGAGTTACTATCTCACAATAAACCCGGTTGATATCCACTGGTTACTGCTTCTCACTAGAACTCCAGTAAATGCCCCTTGAAGCCAGTCACTAGTGAACATATGATGATGATTATCAAAAGGGGTTTTGCGGAGATCAACTCGTGAATTCAACCATAAAATTACTAAAACCTCCACAAAACCCTTTCTAAATTTCTTTCGTTTACTCGAAAAAAAAAACATTTGTCCAGTTACATTACTTGTATCTCAAAGTCATATTACTAGAAATTGAAACAATAACTTGAACAATATGGTTTTATTTCACTTTTAAAACAGTCTGAATCATAAACAATATAGTTTTTCTCATTACCAACTTCGTATTTCATATTTCTTGTTTAAGCACTCGAGCGCAAGACTGATAGATCCTGGGTTCAAATCTCGCGAGGCGGGATCGTGGATGCGCCATACTGAAGAGTCCCAAAATAGGACGAAATGGCCATCCAGTTCTTTCAGGTTTTCAATAGTGGTCTATCTACAATTGGCTCATGATCTCAATTATTGAAATTATTATAATATTCACAAAAACCCATCTGATATGACTTCCCAATTTCTTAACATTTTATGAATTAATTCTTTTTTCTACTTTCAGATGTAATCACCTTCTACTATTGAATGCATCAATACAAAAACTGGATAAAACAATATTTAAAGACAACATTTTTGTTCAAAACACATCTGATAGTTAATAAATTCTTTGTCAAAAGCAAATGTACTATTATTATTATCATCAATAATAATATTAATATTAAAATAATCAATAATTATGGATAACAATAATCGATTATTGATAATAAATACATCATTTTGAAAATACTTAATTATATGAAAAGATTATTATTATTATTAATGATCTAGAACAACATATATAAGCGAACAATATTGTTCTTGATTAGATCCTCATCAGACTTTACTCTAATATACAGCAATATATATATATATATATATATATATATATATATATATATACATGCATATACGAAGTTATCAATGAATTGAAAAGATGATCGTTTTAATGTATTTAATTAATTATCACTAAACTAATTGAAAAAATGAAATAAAGTTAAATCAGAACTATTTCGGTTGTTTGTTTGTTTTTTTCTTTTGTTCAATAAGAGGTGAATAAGATAGTAAACAGTTTTAAAAAGAAATATAGTTAACCATTAAATCTTTCTGAAAAATAAAATATATGAAGTGTACTTGTTAAGAATAGGTGTAAGTAATATAGATTAATTCTCAATCCATGTATGAATGTCCAAAATAAAAATTGACTGAATTCTTTCGGATTCTGTATTTTTATGCAATATCAGCAATTATTCAGAAAGGTTATTATCATTATTATCGATGGCTTTATTGTTATAAATATTGAATGGTTGCCAGTTAGATGTTAGCAGTTCAGGAATTGTTATCTGAATAATGTACAATCTTTTAGATATATATTGCCAGCAACCACGATGACTCTGACTGGGCTGTTTTGTAAGTTGTACAGAGAAATGTCTTAAACTTTTCGCAAACACACTTGAATAGGTTATGCGACTAATGTTTTAAAACATGTGTTAAAACAAACATAAAAACAGATAGGAATAGGTAGCCCAAATATTCAAAGGGGCCGCCATAGTGGCCTTGATGGAATAATACACCACTTATTCTGCATATAAAATATGTATATGTTAAGAACTACATCAAGGAGAGCTTTGAGTTTTGATTTGAATATATGGAGATATTGAGATGGTGGAGCTCAGGTGTATGATTTTGATGGAGTTTTGTTCTCTGAGCTGGATGGTTTAGTCGTGGAGCTTTCATCGTTCTTCTGAACGACATCATCAGCACAAACTTCAGACAGAAGTGAAGTATTCGAATTTCTCCATATGTGTTTCGCAGCTTGTTCTGTGCACTTCGATGTTGATTGGTTCTTATTGACCTTAAATTTGTCATTGGCACTCAGGTCAATCAGCAATCAACAAGCATATTGAAATCAATCCAATTTACCAACCAATCAGGAAAATCATGCACAAATATAGGAATAAGAATCAAACCAATGGGAGACACAACCAAAACAAAGAAGTAAACAATGACAAATTTAAGGTCAATAAGAACCAATCAACATCGAGGTGCACAGAACAAGCTGTGAAACGCATATGGAGAAATTCGAATACTTCACTTCTATTTGAAGTTTGTGCTGATGATGTCGTACAGAAGGACGATGAAAGCTTCACGACCAAACCATCCAGCTCAGAGAACAAAACTCCATCAAAATATGGAGATATTATCCAATAAACAGATTTCTTTCTTATCACTTAAGAAGCACCAAAAATACATTTAGACTTTTTTATCAACATAATAAATTTTAAACTATTATTTGGAGATTTATAAAGAGTAACCACTGCTCAGAAAATTATTAATCCAAACATCAATCTGTATAAATTAATTCACCTCTCAATTCTGACTGTTTATTAACGTTTGACTGTCGGTATATAAATATTTTTGTAATTTCTAAGTGATACGTAATAGATGTTGTTTCCTAATCATGTGACTGTACTAGCAAAGCATTGTTCGTGTGGAATATTTTCTACTATACTATACTACGAATAGTGAACAATTAAACTGTAACTAGTAGACATGTTAGCACTTTTAAACTTCTTTTTGGTCTCGTATTTTCAAGAAATAAATAATTCTATTTCATAGCCAGTGTTTTTTGGTATTGTTGTTGTTGCTGAGTAAACTGATTTAATTCCTAGCTAGTTCTTGTGTATGGCCATTTGAATTTGTACCATTTAGTCACCGTTTTTGAGTTTAACAAATTCATCTTGTGTTTTTCATCGAACTACTTTTGATAAAATGAAATTCAAAAAATTAAGCCAAACAAATTACCTACAGAAGTGTATACATGTATATAACAAGCTTAAGTATCATTGACATCATTTGATATCTGGTGTTGGTTCCATTGCTTTATTACCAAAACTCATGATGGTATTATAAGAAAATAACCATTTCCCTGCTTTTACTGATAATTTAACTGATTTTATAAAAGATACTTAAATGAAGCCAAAATGTATTAAAACAAAAATTGGAAAAACTTAAAAATTCTGATTTAGGTCATTAACTATAGTTATAGTTGTGAATACTTCTTAAATAATGCATAATTAGTATTTATTCTCAATAAATTTAATTCAGTTAACATCATTTGAACTTTAAACTAACTAAAAGTTCAATTCTCCTCATCATTCTTTATATTGTATGTATAGTTAGGCAGTCAGAAAACTATTTTAGACAGAGTTAAATAGCGGTTAGTAGTGGAATGCAAGATGCATGTTTCGCACAATATGAAACTCGTCATTTGAATTTTTCTTATTTATTTTTCTTATATAGTAAGAAATGAGCATCTTGGATTCCACTAATATTCACTAAACAACTTTGCTTATAAATACTTGTGACTAATGTCACTGTTTTGCCAATAAACTCAGGATGTATATAAGACCAAAGTGACTGATTAAATATAGTTCTTAACAATAAAAACGAAAAGATTCAAAGCCTTACAACTAGATTAATCAAAATAGTCATTGACAATAAACATAATACAAATCCATACGAATTTAGTCAACTTTAAGTCCAGAAAGTAACTGTGACTTGATATTGTTACATTTAAATAAAACGCCATTAAAAAGATAGAATGTTTCACCTTAACATTAAAATATTCTTTTGTTGTAATCGTACTTAATTAGAAGAGAAAAAGAGAAACACTAATCTATTCAACACAAACTTATTGCTACTGCCCTAAAGCATCAAATTTATGTATCATGTGGAGATGACAATATTAAACTACTTAAACAAAACCATCTGTTTGTTTCAATTTTGTCTTAGTGATTAAATTTCTGTTAAATAAGTATATTATGCATGCAGTTTTCATTTTATCTAATAAATATTATCCTTTCAATATATATACACGCATACTTGAAAATCAGCTTATTATGTAATAATAATAATATTATCATCTCACTGACCTGATTTTTTTTTATATTTTATTACAATTATTCTGCATGAAATCAAATAAACATATAATGTTATGCTTGATAAAGCTGAATTATTGAAAATCATCCTTTTTATTATTCAATTAACATTATATCTTTAGTAGTTTAGGTGTTGTGAAGATTGTTAAGTTTTTGATTGAAATTATGAGTCAATTGAAGCTAGACCACCATGGAAAACCTAGAAGCACTGGACGGCCATTTCGTCCTAGTATGGGACTCCTCAGCAGTGCGTATCCACGATCCTGCACTCCACGAAACTTTTGTTTTACTTATATTTTGGCACATTTTTGATCTAAACTTACTGATTGATGTTAAATTCTATGTTCTTTATCATTTCATAATTATCTCGTTTTTTTTTTCAACTCAAAAATATTTATATTTATATCATAATTATTTAATTCGAATTCATTATGTCTATATTATTGATGATTATACTTAGAAAGCATTTTCATATCATTGATAATTATATTAATTATTTATCAATGTTTTGTAAGTAATAATAAGTAGTAATGTTAATGAAATAATAAATTATCTCTATCTACTCCCCTCTCACCCTATCTTCATTTCTTTTTTCTTTTTCTTTTTTTTGATTTTCTCTTTTATATTCAATGAACAAAGTGTTTTACAAGGCAAAAATCTAATAGAACTATTCTATGAACATTTAATTTCATGATATTTTAAAGACTGACATCATAAAGTGATGTATATATCATTTTATTTACCAAAAAAAAAGAAAAAAAGAAGAGAAAAGATAAAGAATAATGGGAGTGTAAAACATTTATGAAAAAGTTAAAATAATGTAAAAAAAAATACATACTATGAAATAAGCCAATCAAAGAGATAAACATTTATAATAAAAGAAGAATCATTGAATATATAAATAGAATATAAAGAAAGAAGTTCACACATTGACGTTTTAGTCAATTAAGCATAAAATTCAACCAACAGAAAAGCACGAAGTAATAATACGCTTGAATTGATAAACTATTCGTGTAACGAATAAATGAGGTGTTTCTTAAACTTCTTTTTTTAAAATACATAATGAATTGTCTCTTAGTAGGTCTAAAAATCCGAATAAATTTATATCTTCTATCTATCTACCTATCTATATATCTATATATATATATATATATATATATATATACATGCATCACATCAGAGTGACTGTTTCATTTCTTCTTTGAATTATATGAGATATACCTTTAGGGTATTATTAAAATTGTCACTTTTAACATTCCTTCTTTTTATTATGAATGTAAAAATTTTGATTTCATTGATAGTTTAGTTTCTTTTTTCTTTTTCTCCATTAAAAATAAATGAACTACTTAATTGGATAAACTTTTGTTAATAGAGTTAAACTTAAACGATTTGATTTATAATACACTAGCATTATCATATTTAGTATCAGAAGGGGTTTTATGGATATTATAGTAATTTTAATGGTTGAGATCATGAGTCAATTGAGGTTAAACTACCACAAAAACTTGAAAGCACGGGATGGTTGTTTCGTTCTAGTGTGGGACTCTTCAGCAGTGAGCATCCACGATTCTATCATATTTGATAGTTTAATTCTAATACTGAACATTATTTATTGTCACGAATAAGTTGGCTTAGATTATGGTCTGGAATTTATTTATTTTATTGTATAATGTATTCTAACT